AACAAAATGAGAGTGCTTTCATGCATTGGTCCTTTCCTCTACCTGGCGGTCGCAGTCGCAGCACTCTCATTTTGTTCGGTACAGTGTTGTGAAGGGGTAGATTTCAGGTAACATTCGTACAGGCATGGCTTTTATGCACTAGCAAAGGTCTGGGGTCCTAGGGGTCTCCGCGTTCCGTATCCTGAATGAGTAGACAGAGGTACATCCTCCACCGACAGCTGATCACCCCTGTGGCCCAGGCTGAAGGCATACATTGTTTGTAATGGCGCCCCGAGCATCTCGCCCCTCTATTTCTAACCCATTTCTCTGTATCTAATTCTATAAAATTCACGACATCCTTCTGGGAGTATTATTGAATAGTCGAGTGAGGATAATAACCCGCGTTCGAAGACTAGTACCGGAAAAGAGCTGCTTGTTTGGGCATTTTTTGAGGTGGTGATGCCTGCAGCGGTCCCCTTCGGGATGCCTCCCTTACGGGAGGCCACCCGGCGAGGAATGTCCCAAAGAAAGAGAGTGGTGTGACAGGGCATGCCTATACCCGTAATTCTAACTCAGCTGTCCTTTTATGTAGGAGAACACTTTGCCGTACAATTGTGCCCGTTCATTTTGTATTGGTCGTATCCCTGTTGGGCTACATGTGCCCAAAGGGAAGTGTGTGCGCGGGAGGGTCGCGGAAATTCCAAGTTTCCGTGATGATAGTTGTATTCCAAGTGTGAGGTTGCCCGATGGACCATCAAGGGTGATGTTTGATAAAAATGTCTATGAATGGTGGATTGCCGATCTTTCCTAATACATTCAGGGGTCTGAACCATCTGTTTGTATTTAATGGAATTGAACTGCTTGTTTATAGACCGCAAAATTTATGAGGCCGAATTGAGTCGAATTTTGACGAAAGAATGGACAGATTGACACCAATGTGCGGGTAAAAGCATAATTACAGGGCAAGTCAAAGAGCAAGGACGCGGGTGGAAGGGTCACTGGCGTTGCATTGTCCACCAGCCCGTTGCCAAGCCGTGAGATTACAGGCCACACCGACCTTTGGTCTCATTTTACATCTGGATAGGGTTTAACGACTATGCTATTAGCCAATCAGATATTTGGGGGACCCACACAAAGCTGTCTACAGGCGGCTTGTCATAGTCACCATCTCCAATCTCGCATTCACCATGAGGATCGTCCAGATCAGGCTCTCCAGGGTCGCCTGTGGGGTCACCCTCAGCGGCCCGAACTTCAACGACATCCTCCTTAGTCGTGCCAACGTGAATGGTGCCCGCGAGATCCTCCATCACAGAGTTGTCATTCAACACTGGCTGCAATGAGTCAGAAAAGACCTGCATATACTCGAACACCCAGCGCGCTCAACACGAACCCCAACCCCAAACGAATCATACAAGAGATTATACGGTCCGACTCGCCAGTGACGAGTATTGGGGAGACCGGCACGTATAGCGGTTTATATAACATGCCCAGCTCGGATACGCAAAGCCAAGAACCGTCGTGTTCGGAAGCTAGCTCCTCAAAACCGTTGCCCGGACAAGCGAAACTTTACAAGTCTCCCAGAGGGTCTATGATATAGTCAGCACAATCTTAGACGCTCCTTACTACCACACTCCTTTAAAAAAACTTCTTTCATGACATCTCTCCAACACGCACAACTGTTTTTTAACTTCTTTCTGGCTGGTTCAAGGTTTCTTACCTTGCCTCAAACTGTACATTATTCTTTTCG